GGTTGCCTGCTAAGATACTTGCTACTTGTGGCTGGGCACAGTGGCTCACGCCTCTAATCCCAGCACTTTGGGAGGCCGAGGTGGGAGGATCGTGAGGTCAGGAGTTCAAGACCAGCCTGATCAACATGCTGAAACCCTGTCTCTACCACAAACACAAAAATAGCTGGGCATGGTAGCATGTTCCTGTAATCCCAGCTACCCCAGAGGCTGAGGCAGGAGAATTGCTTGAACCGGGACCCGAGAGGCAGAGGTGGCAGTGAGCCCAAATCTCCACCACTGCACTCCAGCCTGGGCTATAGAGTGAGACTCTGTCTCAAAAAAAAAAAACAAACAAAAAAAAAGATATTTGCTGCTTGCTTTTTTAAAAAAAAAAAAGCTGTACCCTTGGTTCTGAGTTCCTGAGTTCCTCAGCTGTGATGCAAACCCACTGCACACATCCATATGGACACCCAGCCTCTTTGTGGGATTTGGTAGCCAGGAAAACCTACAAAAATATGCTGATGTTCATGCTGCTTGCTGTGCCATGAGTAATGATCTGCCTGTGACCTGGAGGTCTCCTCTTTTCTGCCAGCAACCAGTGAAACATTAACACACTCGTATTAACTTGTAAAACGGGTACTTAAAGGCTGGGCGCAGTGGCTCACGCCTGTAATCCCACCACTTTGGGAGGCCGAGAAGGGTGGATCACAAGGTCAACAGATAGAGACCATCCTGGTCAACAAGGTGAAACCCCTAATAAAAATACAAAAATTGGCTGGGCATGATGGCATGTGCCTGTAACCCAGCTACTCGGGAGGCTGAGGCAGAAGAATTGCCTGATCCCAGGAGGCGGAGGTTGTGGTGAGCCGAGATCGCGCCATTGCACTCCAGCCTGGGTAACAAGAGCAAAACTCTGTCTCAAAAAAAAAAAAAAAAAGGGTACTTATTTATCATGTATCAGTCTTTATATGTTTTACATATATTATATTATTTCTCATAATAATCCTAGTCAGGGAGGTACTAATATGAGGAAACTGAGATGTAAAGTAAGCCAAGGTCTCACAAACTGCAAACAGCACAATCTAATATATAAGCCCAGATGTTTTTAAAACCTGTGGGATTTTTACCCATTAATAGTCAAGCCTCTTTCCCAGCTGATTTATCAAAGGCAAGTCTAATTCCCCAGATATAAGAGAAAATAACTCAGATCTTTGCAGAATAAATACTTCAAATTATGTTCCATAGAAAATATTTTGGAAATGTTAATATAATCTTAAAATTTTAAAAACAAAGAACAAAACCAAACAAAGATTAGGAAGAGCTTGGTTAAACAAATCCAAATCACTTTCCTTACTCCAGAATTATTCATTGTTTTAATATGCTAATATATGTTTTAATATGCTAATGTCATAAATCTTTCAGTTACACTTATTATCATCATTCTGAAATACAGTTCAGGAAATGACTGCTACAATCAACAATGCCAATTTAACTTGTACACCAAATAGTTAGCTTGCTACAGGTACAATCTTAGAAGTCAGCTTGGTACAGGTACATAATCCTTTTTATTTTGAGGCAAGAGTCTTGCTCTGTCACCAGGCTAGAGTGCAGAGGCACAACCTCGGCTCACTGCAACCCCCACTCCCTCGTTCAAGCAATTCTCCTGCCTCGGCCTCCTGAGTAGCTGGGAATACAAGCACCCGCCACCATGCCCAGCTAATTGTTGTATTTTTAGTAGAGATGGGGTTTTACCATGTTGGTCAGGCTGGTCTTGATCGCCTAACCTCGTGAGATCCACTCACCTTGGCCTCCCAAAGTGCTGGAATTACAGGTGTGAGACAACTTGCCCAGCCCATAATCCTTAAATACAGTCCATAAAATAGAAAACTTCAGCTGGGCTCCATGGCTCATGCCTGTAATCCCAGCACTTTAAGAAGCTGAGGGGGACAGATCATTTAAGGTCAAGAGTTCAAGACCAGCCTAGCCAACATGGTGAAACCCCGTCTCTATTAAAAACACAAAAATTAGCCAGGCGTGGTGGAGCACAACTGTAGTCCCAGCTACTCAAGAGGCTCAGGCAGGAGAATCGCTTGAACCCAGGAGGTGGATGTTGCAGCGAGCTGAGATCACACCACTGCGCTCTAGCCTGAGCAAGATACTCAGTCTCAAAAAATAAATAAATAATAAAATAAAATGAGAACATCAAAGTTAGAATGTGGTCTAGCAGCTGCAAGCCAAGTCAACTTCGTCACAGTTGGCAACACTGCTCATTTACTAACAAAACTGAATTTCACACAACACAATAAAATTACATATTATACCTGGCTTTTTCTGAAATTAATGAGTAACAACCAAGAATTTTTATAGCTCTAAACTGTTATCTACTGATTTACTTAATAAATGTTGGGACTTTTTAACAATCAAGGGAAAGATCACAGAATAAGCAGTTTCTAGATAAAGGCTATATATTGGCTAATGGTAGTAGCTCATTCTGATGACCCTGGGCATCACTGCTAGCTTTCCAGTAAGAAAAGCTGCATTGAAACTCTTTAAATAAGTGAAAAGTTAACACTGCATACCATCTCACTCCTAAATATACTTGCCTATCTCCTGATTTAGTCAACCCTTAACATTCAACAACTCAAGTTGTTTACTGTTCCAGTTTACTAATCATTCCAGAGTTTCCCCCAAAACTGAGCTAAAGGTAACCACAAAATAGTTGTGTTCATCATATAAGCCAGAGCTGGGTTGATCCCTAGTTTAAATAGTCTACCAAAAATGTCAGTTCAACTGCTTCTCTGACATATACTTAAATGTTATTAATCAAGCCATTATACACAAAACCAAGAGTAGTTATACTAGATTAAATGACTATGTAACTTTTGTAACTCTAACACTTTTGCATTACAAGGAAAACAAATCCATGTCCTACCTAAAGTATTATCTTTAGAGGGACTGGGAGGCATTATCTTTAGAATTGATTTTTGTCCTCTGTTCTCAAGAACATTCAGAGTCTATGTAGGACACATAGTCAGTTTGGAAAAAAACGAGGGAAGGAGCAGCAATAAAATATGTTCATTTATTTTGAAAGGAGTTGCAGGAAAAACTAGTATCTTAAAACTGAGAGCTACATAAATAGTGTTTTGAGTAGTGACTTATGGAGAATATGGTTGATGTTTCGAATCTAATAGAAAGATTAGAAAAATGAAACAAGTTCCACTGCTAATATTACTCAATATTTATCTATATCATTTTATTTTTGCTAACATTTCCATGCCTAGAAATGCCTTTCAAATCATCAAAAGGGTGTACACTGACAACCTAAAAAATGCTTTCCACACTGGGAGAAACAGTATTTCCCACGTTGTTCTGAGAAAAGCTGACAATTTTCAAAGAATTTAGAATATGGACCTTTTGGAGGTTGTAAAGAATGCAAACCAGTTGAAAATGGAAGCCTCATGAGCTTTCATGTTACAAAAAACGCAAAATTACATGCACTAGAATCTCATTTTACAGTGTTCATTATATTTGCCAAAATGTACTTATTAATATAAAGTCGTGACTTTTATAACTAAATCTTACATGTGCAAACAGATTTGAAAGTTGAAACCTAGAACTAATACATCTAAATCTGTAAAATTTTATAAACCATAAACTGTACCACCAGTGCTATGTATTGATTTTCTCCTCTTCCCTAAGTAAATGGGCTGAAAGTTTGTGGAATGACATGCTACCTAACTACAACCACACAGTCAACTATTGCTCATTCCATTTTTAAGTAAGGTTTAGAACAGTAATCTCCGACGTCACCACCAGAATACACCAAGAAAAATATATTTTAAAATTGACACTGAAAATATAGAGGAACACATTTCACTTTTTTCAATACAGTTACCCAAATTTATACAGTTAAGCTGGAAAACCTTATATTTAACAAAAAATAATTTTTCAAAACAAGATTAGAATTTGTTCTACTAAAACCTACCTCTGTTTCCCCTGTAGCCAAAAAAGGACGGGAGGGGGGATTACAAAAAAATATATAGTCATTTTTAATACTAACATAATGGAAAAGGACAAAATGACAAGGTTAACGAGCAAGAGACAGGATCAGCCTTACGGCTCGTCTTTCCCTACGGATCCATAATTCCTAACCCACATTTCTGCCAAATCCACATCCCACCCTACGCAGTACTTACACCTTCACCCACTCACCCACCCACCCCATTTAGGACAGCGATCACCTTCTGCGCAGGTATTTGAAGTCAGCCCCATTTCCTGTAGACAATCGACTAGAATGTCTCAGGAGTGACTGAGTCAGAGAATAAGAAAATGATAAAGTGAGAAATTAAAACATATAAGTTGCAAGGTGTGAGGGGGAAGGGTGTCACACAAGGGGCTAAGGGTGCGGGTGAGGAGCTAGGAGGAGACTTGGGGCGAGAGGGAGGGTCTCGAAGGAGTCCTAAGCAGAGGTGCGCAGGAGAGGCGAATGAAGCCGCTCCAGCCAGAAGACAAAAAAAAAAAAGCCAGAGCGTTTCCTCCAGGAATAACCTGAGGAAAGGGACTCCCGGGACGCCGCGGCTGGAAGTAGTCCCGGAAGGCACAGGAGGCCGGGAACTCACCACCTGGTAGCGCCCAGTCCCCGGCTGGTGGTGATCCATCCTGCCCGGCTCCGGATCCGGCTTCCGAGCGGGCGAGTCTCCTCGGTGCTCAGCTCCCTCGGCCACCCCCGCCGACAACGTCGTTGCCGCAGGACCCCTTCCGCCTCTGTTCCTGCCGCCTCGGTCTCCAGGCGGAAGCGCTTCACTTCCTGTGGCTTCGGCAGCGGCCGCCGAGACCTCCGCGTCGGTCGCGGTTCCCCGGAGGAGCTCCGGGACGCCGCGCGCGCTATTGAGCATGCTCGGACAGCTCGCGCAGACTCGGTGGCTCCGCCGGCGTCCCATCCGCGCTGCCAGTGGGAGGGTGAAGCTGGGTACGTGGAAATGGAAAAGTGAGGCAAGTCCGGGGGAGCGGTCTAGATTGTCAACCTGTCGAGTAGGCGGTCGCAAAAGGCGCGTGGGAGGAGGAATGACCCGTCCTTGATTGGTCTTTTTGGTGTGCGCGAGTTTCGCGCAGGCACGAGCCAGTGCGCTTTCTCACCATATAGAGACAGAAGCTGACAGGGATGGGACGCGTTCCTAGAACACCTGAGGACAGGTCACCCGGGTACCCGACACTTCCTTGTATTACTCACCCAGCCTAGAACGTGGCGAGGAGATTCATCTCTAGGACATTCCTAAAACGATCATTCAAAATCATTCGTGAGGTAAGGGATTTTTTAAGACTATTTTTAATATAGAGCAATTCTAGTTAACAGCAAAATTGAGAAGTTACAGAGATATCCCATATTGACTTTGCTCCTACACAAGCATAAACGCCGCGCCCCTATTATCACCGCCCCCCACTAAAGTAGTACATATATTACACTATGAACCCACATTGATACGTCATCATCACTCAAAGTCCATAGTTCATCTCAGGGTTCACTCAGGGTCTTGTATATTCCTTGAGTTAGGACAAATGTGTAATGACAGGTATCCATCATAATAGTATCCTACAGAGTGTTTCCACTGCTCTGAAATTCCTCTGTGGAATTTTTGGTTTTGTTTGTTGTTTTTTTTAGAAATGGGGTCTCACTGTGTTGCCCAGACTCCAGTGCAGTGGGTGTTCACAGTTGCAATCGTGGCTCACTGCAGCCTTGAACTCCTCTGCTCAAGCTATTCACCTGCCTCAGCCTCTGGAGTAGCTAAGACTACAGGCACCAGCTCTTTGGTTACTTTTTAAACTCTTTTTTCCACTTTTTGGTAATAAGAGATTTAAGAATCCAATGGGCCGGGCGCGGTGGCTCAAGCTTGTAATCCCAGCATTTTGGGAGGCTGAGGCGGGTGGATCACGAGGCTAAGAGATCGAGACCATCCTGGTCAGCATGGTGAAACCCCGTCTCTACTAAAAATACAAAAAATTAGCTGGGCATGGTGGCGTGTGCCTGTAATCCCAGCTACTTGGGAGGCTGAGGCAGGAGAATTGCCTGAACCCAGGAGGCGGAGGTTGCGGTGAGCTGAGATTGCACCATTGCACTCCAGCCTGGGTAACAAGAGCGAAACTCCGTCTCAAAAAAAAAAAGAATCCAATGGACTCACCAGACAACTCTCAAAGAAAGAGGCCTCCAGACAACTCTCAGAGGTCTCTAGAGTTCTAGGTTACTTTGGAGGACTTTAGAAGAAAGTAATGAAATCAGATAGAATTATTTTGTGGTAATAATAATTCCAATGGATTTAACAGCAAGGAATCACTTGGGAGCATTGTTAATAGTATCTCATAGTCTGGTTAACCACGCATGACATACTATGTGTGTTTCTCACACAGGGTATAAAGCATATTTCTCTAGTAAGTAGAAGAGTATGACAGGGCAGCAAAAAGTACCTTTTAACTCAAAGACCAACTTTCTATACCCAAAAACTATGATGTTGCTTGATGTGGCCCGGCTATGTGTTTAAGATAACGCCACTTTTTCCCTAAATGACCTTACAGCAGAGCCTTCGAAGGGAAGAAAAGGGATCTGGAACCCCATTTATTTCCTTCATGAATGTCCAGAGGAGATGCTTGGAATGAAGACTGCCACTGGGTGAGCCTAATCAGCTGGTTAAAATAGCAAGATAGGATAAAGACAGAAACTCTTTGATAGATTGCCAACTAAAAATGTAAGCCTTCCTCATAGTTCTTTTTAAAATCTTCATCAACTCTTCCTATTTGTGCCATTTTGACATGTCTAATAATAGAGAGCATTACTGTGCTGACAAGGCATTAATATCTCATACTTAAATATTTTTAAACTTGCCTTGTTTTTATCTTAATGTATTTTAGTTTCTAAGCCAATAAACATATGCCATTTTATTGATATTACTGGTATAAGTGCTCATTCTCACAATTTCACTCCAAATGGTATTGCTTCTTGATAACCAAAACAACAGCCAGTGTCAGCAAAATGAAATTAGATCCCTATATCACTTACGGTCTATAAGAATTATTTAGCACTGAATTTTATATGCATATGTGTTTTCATTAATCATTTATGTATTCATTTGTTTCTCAAATAGACTGCTGCTCAGAGCAGAGACAATTTTTTACACCCAACTCAGCACTGAGAACATAACAGTAAAAGTCAAAGACTGACCAAAAACAGACATCTTGAATCCTGATAGAGTAACAGATTCTATTTTACCCTCCTCCCAGATTCTCTGAATGTTTTGCTAATCTAGTGGAGTAACAATTTCAACAGGAAATAATATTTTTAATGAGGAAGAGAAAGAGGGAAAAGAGAAGTAGAACAACAGCTTAATAGTATAGAGCCCTTTCTAAGCCAGTACTATGCATCTATTATTTTATCCTCATCGTAACTTCATGATATAGGCAAAATTGCACTCCTAGGTTAACAGATGATGAAGGAAAATAAACCACAAAGAGTTTCCTCAACTAGTCTAATGCCAGATCACTAGTAGGTGGTGACAGACATCAGAGCCTCCACCATATTAAGCCCTATATTAAGCTTATAGACAGCATAATGTGCCCAAGAAAGAAAAGAGGACAAGAGTCCTTGTCTCTTTCCTCTTCCTGGCCGCCACTACTGTGAAACGTGCAGAAGACGTAAAAAGGTAGTAATGTATCACAAAGAGCCAGTCTAACTTCTTTAATTCCCACCTTCCTGATCTATATAAAATAATGGTTCTTATTCATCATCCCCAAAAGAGCCGTTCTGAGCTTCTTTTGCTCACTTTACAACTAAGCCCATGTGACCTATAATGGACCATTACAGGCAGAGTCACTGAGTTGTCCCTCTAGGAGGAACTTACTTGGGATGCAATAGGAATAACAATATTCTTTACCATTTTACAGACCTTGGGCAACATCCAATAATATTTTCAATCCCTGGTATTATGGTGACAACTCTACTTATCTAAGGAATTTGTGGTGGTGCCGCACATAAACTACCTCCTGTAGTTTTTAGTGCACTTCACTAGAAGTGTAGAATTTTAGCGTACTTCACTAACACCTCTCATTCTGGCCTGATCAATTTTCATCTCCAAACACACAGCCAACCAAAATTTTACTAGTGCTGCTCTGCAGTACTGGGGCAGACATGGAGATAAGCTGCCCAGATCCCCTTTCAAGAAAGCACACTCTGCCCAGCTGGAAGGAATGTGGCTGGCAGACAACTTCCATTTGGTAGCTTTGTCAGAGTCTCCCTCAGCTTTCAACCTAAGGAGGTGCTATTTTCAGGGTGGCACCCAGCCACTGACTGAGCAAGGCAGTTGCACAAGGCTCTGGCTGTTTTTGCGAGACATTGAAGCCCTTTAAGGGACAAATTTTGTTTCAGAGTTCCCCGTGAAGCTGGCAGAGACTTTTCCAGCTCTGCAGCATATTGTGACAGCTCCCCCTGCCCAATTCTTTTTCTTTTCACAAATGTTCCGCCCCAGTGAATCTCTTGCACTTAAAACTTTCTATCAGCATCTGCATCCCGGAGAACCCAACTAAGACAAGTACCAAGATGTATAGTGATAGAGCAGCGTTATCAAAATAGTGTTAAATAGTTACAACTATCATTTTACACGGTTGATGTTTCATCTTCAGAATAACCCTCAGTACTCGACATTGTTAACATTTTCTCATGTGGATGTAATGTATCTGTAAGCCTTTCTACTAAGAATGACTTCAATGTTGTTCTATAGGGTGATGCTATATAGAGGTCATGGGGACCTCTTTGCCTGGGACATGCTTCTCATTGGGAATCCCTCCCACCTTCCCAGAAGCAGGGCCATTCCCTCCAGATGCGATCTAGCAACTTAATATTCATCATCCTCTTTCTTATATCATCAGATATATTGAGCTGTACACCCAAATGCCAGGATTCTTCGTTGGGATTCCCACCAGTTAAAGTGCAATAAGACATGCCATTGCTTACAGAAAGCCATCTACACAGGCCTAAATCACAGGTAGGCAAATGTTCCAAATTTTTCTTACTACTTCACTGATTTTTAGTTTTTTATCACTTTCTCTACTACATAGAACTACTCAAGGTAGCTATTGATGATTACTGTCATCACAGATCTTAATAATAATTAACTGCATTTGGAATATGTATGGTTTTTGTATATTTACCTGTAGAATGACTAGAAAGAGGTAAAATTACATTATCTGAAAATTTATCTAATGAAAATTCACTAGCAATCATTTTCTGGACATTAAAGTTTAAAGTACACTTTAGAAAATATAAGAAACTATTGCTTTTCACTTATCAATGAAAATTAGCACAATAATGACTCCAGTTTTATCTCTTTATCTTGTATCATGTATGTGTATCTTTTAATCAGTTTGTAGGGTTGAACGTCAGTTTACCTTCACATAGTGTTTCTTATGTAACTGGTTCTGAGATTCCTGTCATCTGTTCAGCTCTATAATTTTAGAGAAGACATCTAAGTGAGCAATTTTACAATCAAATATCTACTTCTTTTCCCTCTCTTTATTCTCCTCCAGTATGTTGGAAGAATTTGAAATTAAACTCTTTATCAGTCAATATTCAGCTAGAGAAACAGAGTCAGCAGAAGACATATCCTACGAGATTTATTGCAAGGAATTGGCTTACACAATTGTGTGGGCTAGGTTGGCAAATCCAGAATCCACTGGGCAGACCCTGGAACTCTAGGGTTGGAGCTGAAGCTGCTGTCTACAGGCAGAATTTCTTCTTCCTCAGGGAATCCTCAGTTCTGCTCTTAACTGACTCAATCAGACCCACCCAGATTATTGAGGATAATCTTCTTTACTTAAAGTCAACTGATTAAAGACTTTAATTACATCTATTAAATCACCACAATGCCTATGTCAGTGTTTGAATAATTGGGGCTATAATCTAGCCAAGTTGATACAGAAAGCTGACATTCCCTGTTTACTTAAATAGAGCAGACTAATACGGTATCTATATAATAAAGATAAAAGATAGAGGAAGGAACAGGAGAAAGAAAGGAAGTACCAGAGAGTTAGCTTAAAAATTTAAATGAATTTTCTAAATTTAAGTTTTCCTATCAGCTGTATATAAAATATATAGTTATATATGATGGTGTCACCAGTAAATGCTTGAAAAAGATCTGAATTCTGATAAGCTGCATCTCAGTCCTAACAATATTTTTATTTAGCATTTTCATTTTTCCTTTGTTTGGTAACAGGCAACAAATGTGAGCAAATCACTAGCCATTTTGCTTTAGGGAATTCATTTTTGAACTTGGACTAACTCATAAGTTATTAAAGTAATCTTTGTTTTACCTTGGATATGGAAGGCTGTTCTTTGACCATACTAAAGCAGGACTTTCTATGTTGTTATCTCCTTTTTACTCTGTAAGCCATAGAAAAGCAGGACTGTCACTGAGTATAGGGCTGTTATGACAGGTATCCCTTGACTGACTAATATGTGATTATTGTGTAAGAAGGGGGGAGTATATGTGTGTCTGTGGTGTGTGTGTCTGTTTGTGTAAAATATTAGGAAAGAGCAATGTCTCCTACACATCCAGAGCTTCTTAACATGTTAATGAGCATTTGCTTTCTTTCTTTCATAACAGAAACCAGGCCTCATTTGTTTAACACAGTCTTATGTCAGTACACTGCTTCACCATTGGCAGCATATTATGACATCAACAATAAGATCACCATATAAGAAGGTTGCCTGATTTCAGTTCTGAGGATAAAGGACGCTCAGTATCTGAAGGATGTGATGTTATTTTTCAAATGTCAAAGGGATGCAAATCTTAACTGAAAAACATAATTTGTCAAATCTTCTAAAGAAAAGTGCTTAAACATATAAATGATAAACAGTAAATTTAAATATTCATTTCCCAGTTGCATTAGCTACTCAACACTTGTATTAGCCACTTGGTTACACTGGTCAGTTCAAGAGCCATATGTGATTAGTGGCTACCGTATTAGAGTAGATACAGTACATTTCCATCATTGCAGAAAGTTCTATTGTACAGAACTGTACTGTATCTATAGCCAGAGAGTGGCATGCTTGGATTATGCATCAATTCAAGAGTAGTTTGTTTTTGCCACAACTTTATGCAACTCATTATGCAATATTTAGACATTAAAAATTGTTTCTAGATAGGCATGGTGGTGCACACCAGTAGTCCCAGCTACTTGGGAGGCAGAGCGGAAGAATTGCTTAAGCCCAGAGTTCAAGTCTATCCTGGGAAAGGAAGGAAGGAAGGAGGGAGAGAGGGAAGGAAGAAGGAAGGAAGGAAAACAGAGAGGGAGGGAGGGAGGGAAGGAAGGAAGGAGGGAAGGAAAGAAAGAAGGAGGGAGAGGCAGGGAAGAGGAAAAAATTGTTACTAGTATGATCCAAACTTAATATCATTTGAGAATGATCAATCATCTATGGGTAAGAATAAAATACAAGAAAAGCAGTATCTGAATATAATATACAGCTCTTATTTTACATTTTTCTTTTCTGCATTAAGTGAAAAACAGCTCTCAATATACTCACCAATGTGATCTTTTCAAATACGTAATAATTAAACAGATTAAATACGGCTTTTTAAAAAACAGTCTTTAAAATTAAAAATTATAATTTGCCCCAGCTACTCAGGAGGCTGAGGCAGGAGAATCACTTGAACTCAGGAAACAGAGGTTGCAGTCAACCAAGCTCACGCCACTGCACTCCAGCCTGGGTGACAGACCAAGACTCCGTTTGAAAAAAAAAAAATTATAATTTGTCCAGAAGTAGAAAGACCAGCATAATAAACCTCCATGAATCTATCACTCAGTTTCAACATTTATTGATTGATGACCAACCTTGTTTCATCTATAACCTCCCTCTTCTCACCCTCTACCCTCCACTGCATATCTGAGATACGATGTTATTTTGTCTGTAAATATTTTAGTTTACATTATCATCTGAATAGTTGTGCCTACCCAGAATTCCTATGCTGATATCCTAATGCCAAGTGTGGTGATATTAGGAACTGAGACCTTTGAGAGGTGATTAGATCATGGCTGAGCTCTCATGAATTGGATTAGTGCCCTTATCAAAGGAGCCCTAGACAGCTCTTTTACTTTCTTTCTGCCATGTGATAATATAATGAAAAGTCTGGAACCAGGAAGAGTGCCCTCACCAGAACCCAACCAAGCTGGCAGTCTGATTTTGTATTTCCAGCCTCCGGAACCATGAGAAATAAATATATGTTGTTTAAACCAGGGACCCCAAACCCTAGGCCTTGTACTCGTACTGGTCCATGGCCTGTTAGGAACCGGACCACATAGCCTGAGATGAGCAGTGGGCAAGTGAGTATTACCACCTGAACTCTGCCTCCTGGTAAGATCAGAGGTGGCATTAGATTCTCGTAAGATCACAAACCATATTGTTAACTGTGCATGCAAAAGATCTAGGTTTCACATTCCTTATGAGAATCTAATGCTGGTGCTGGGATGATCTGAGGTGGAACAGTTTCATCCCCAGCCATCTCCTCACCTGCCACTGTCTGTGAAAACGTTGTCTTCCATGAAACTGGTCCCTAGTGCCAAAAAGGTTGGAGACTGCTGGTTTAAACCACTCAGTGTATGGTACTTTCTTACACAGCCCAAACTAAGACAGCACATATCATTAAAATGTAAGGACATTTTTAAACATAATCACAATATGCATTAACATAGCTTAAAAAGGCATAAATAGTAATTCTTAATATTATCAAATATATAGTCATTAATTGTGACTTTTTTAAAAAACAAAAACACTTAGTTTTTCTGACTCTACCCACAAAATTTCAAGGTTGGGAAGTAACTGTGATTATGTCATCAATTTAGGGTCACTGATGATCTGATGATCTGGAACTTAAAAGTTGAAGGGAGAAAAAAGAAACACTATAGATCAGTACTCAGGAAATGAAAGCAGTATGTTTTATCTATCATTTGCTAACAACGACAAAAAGCTTCAGAAGCAAACCAAAAAAATTATCAGTAGAAACAAAAGTACTTTAAGCTACCCAGTTAATCAATTTAGGCAAAATAATTCTAATAATAAAAACAAATCACCCCCTCACACCTATTAGGATAACAAATGAAAAAAAAACAAAAATAACAAGCATTAACAAGGATTTGGAGAAATTAGAATACTTGTGCATTGTTGTTGGGAATGCAAAATGGTACAGCCATTGTGGAAATATATGGCCATTTCTCAGTAACTGAATAATAGAAATACCATATAATCTAGCAATTTATTAATAACTTTTGGGAATATTTCCCCCCAAAATGAAAGCAGGGTCTAGAAGAGATATTTGTACACCCATATTCATAGTAGTATTATTCAAAATAGCTAAAATATGGGGAAAAAATGAGTGTCTTTCATGGATGAATGAAGCAAAATGTGGTATATACTATAACAATATTACTTAGAAGGAAATTCTGTGACATGCTACAAGATGGATGAACACTGAGAACAAGATCATAAGTGAAATAATTCGATTACAGACAAATGATTCCACTTATATGAGGTACTTAGTCAAAATCATAGAGACAGAAAGTAAAAGCGTGGTTGCCAGGGGCTGTAGGGTAGGGAAGATGGAGAGTTATTATTTAATGAGTAGCGTTTCTGTTTTGCAAGATGAAAGGAGTTCTGAGATGGATGGTGATGACAGTTGTACAATAATATGAATGTACCTAATACTATTGAGCAGTACACTTAAAAATAGTTAAGATGATAAATTTTGTGTTATGTGAATTACCACATTAAAAATAATTGGAGGAAAAAAACAATGCTATCCTATTTGCAACAGAAGACAAATCTTGTGCATAAAGGTTGATACAAGATAGATTAATATTTTGCACATGTGTTTGCAAATCCAGCATACATACACCATATACAAGTAATCCCTGTATACCTTGAAGAAAATGATAATATTGTTTACATCATTTTTGCTTCAATATTTAATAACTTCTAGTTAATATAGAGATA